TCTAACACAGAAAAGTACGCAGCCCAGAAAAAATGGCAAACGCAAACTGGGATGGGGGAGAGCATTCCTGGGGCTGAGATTGTCCCCATTTTTATCTGGCTCTTCTGCTCACTCATACTCTTTCAGGTACACACGGAGGACCACCAGGGCCCACCTTGGCTACGGGTTCTCTGCTATCAGCACATCCCTGTGCCTCAGTTCCAGGCAACCACCCTTCCTTCCATGGGACCAGTTCTCCAGGAAGAAGGGCCAGATAAAAATTGGACAATTATCTAATGCCACTGAGCTGTCTCCTCTCAAGGAGCTCCAGAGGGCATGCTGATTTAATTAAATTAGATTTACAATTGCTTCTTTACTATTTCTAAGAGCCAGCACAGCTATTATAACTCCTTTTCAAGCTGCTAATTAGCTGCTGTTTGATTAATTATGCATTCACAAAACAACTGACTAGTGGACCAAGAGTTCTTGAAGAGCAATTTCTTCACATCTGTATTTCTTGAAAACAAAATCATATTCTGTTTCAGCTACCAAGACATAACTGTCAAAACGGGGGACAGGCTAGGAATGGTGAGGAAGAAAGCTTAACTTCTTTGAAGACTTAAACTGAAAGCGGGGCAGAGTTAGGGGCAGTTAGGGGCTGGAGGGCAACTAACACTATCTCAATTCCTGATAAACTAGGCTGGGCCTTGGCTCTCCCATGGAACCAAAAAGCAACCAATAGCTTGTTTGGAGGTGGGGGAGGTGGACCGTGCTCACTTTCAGAGACACTTTGCCTGGGAGAACTTTTCTAATCCTGAGATGCACAATATGCTCAATAACAGCCAAGCAAAAACTGAGGAAGCCCAAGGTACCGCAGAGGAGGTGGAAGGAGGCATTCAATGGTGGACGGAAGATGTTTCATTGACCAGTGCCATCATCCTTTGCTGACATGATCCCAATATTTAAAAAAGGGAAAGGGGAAGGACCCAGGAAACCACAGGCCAGTTAGTGTAATGACCGTCTGGGCGAAGAACTAGAACTGATTACGAGCACGGGTCAAGAACAAGTCATGTCAGACTAACCTCCTTTTATCTCTGATGGAGAGACCAAGAGATGGGGATGCACCTGGATCTCAGTAAACAAAGCTTCCCATGATATCCTTCTGGACAAGAGGGAAAAGTGAGGGCTAGAGAAGACTGCACTCTGGAGAATTTACTATAGGCTGAAAAAGTGCACCCAAAGGATGCTTGGGAATAGCTGTACCTCATTCTGGACAGAAATGACATGTGGGGTCTCCTAGAGCTCTGTCCTCAGCCCAGCGCTGTGCCATGTTTTTATAAACAATGGATTGCAAGGGATGCTTATGAAATGTGTGGGTGATATCATGCTAAGGGGATTGGCTAATACCTTGCAGGACAAAATCTCAATTCACAACACCCTCAACAGACTTGAACACTAGGCTAGATCAGACAGAATGATGTTCACTTTGACAAGTGTGAGGTCCTGCTTCTGGGTAGGAAAAGTGAAATGCAGAGGCACAGAAGCAGAGAGAGCTGCTTAGTGGCAGTGGCCCCACCAGCTGAACATGAGCAAGCAGCGTGATCCAGCTGCTAAAAGGGAGGGTTCTGCACAAGTTAGGCCACCCTTTGCATCCTATGTCCAGTCCTGACCGAGGGGGAAGCTGGGCTGGGTTCAGAGGAGAGCTATCAGGATGATAAGAGGGCCGGCAACCAAGCCCTACAGAGAGCGTGCTTAGCTTGCAAAGGAGAAGACAGAGCGGGGGGATGAGAGTGGTCTGCAAACCTCTAAAAGGCTGTCACATGTTCTCTCTGACTCTGGGAAGAAACCAAAAGAAAGGGGATTCAGGCTGAATGCGAAGAGTACTTAAAACAGTCTCTTTACTTTAAGGACCACCAAGACAGATGGTGTGGTGGAAGAAACAAACAGGAGATTCTCACAAGCGGTCATGTGAACATAGCCTGGCATTATCCTCAAACATCGGTGATAATGAAGGCTAAAAAGGCACATTGATCTCCTTTTTTAAAAATTTTCTTTTCTTTTCTTCTCTTTCCTCACTTGCACTTCCTCAGACCCTCATCCTTTTGAGTTCCGACCTCAAGAAGATACAAAAGAGAAATGGCTTCATTCTAAATTTATCCTTGATTGCAGACTGTTATCAGTGAGCTGGAGAGACTGGCAAAGAAGGAGATGGAAGGAGGAGACTTGGCAGAGAGGGAGAAAGCAACCTGGAATTTTATCTGTCAATTAAGACAATTAAGGCTTAAGTGGTGGCCCTGTACAAGAGGTGAGAGGAAGGCTGGGGGCCAGTCCCTTCCTTAAACCCGGAGTCTCAGGACAACTTCAGCCTGTCTCACCGTGGGATGGGGAGGAAAGAGAGGCAACCCCATGGATTTCCAGAGCTGTTTGTACCAAGGTTGGAAGAGAGTCAGGAAAGGCCCAGAGATCCCATGGGTCAGCAGTGAATGAATGAATTACTTACTGTATATACTGTATATTACGCCACCCAGAGTCACCTTATGTGAGATGGGCCACTATATAAACACGATAAATAAATAAAATAAATAAATACTGCCTTTCCACTAACTTCAGTACTAATAAATTAAGGGGAAACCATAATCTACAAAAAGATAAAGCTACATTAAAACATAATCATGCAAGCTCGTCAGGATTATAAGCCACTCCATCATGCGTTATATGCACACAATTGTTGGTGGAGGGACACAGATGTTTTGCAGGCAGGGAGAAAGAAAGAGAAGAACACACACATTATTCTGCAGGTGGCAGACAGGACCATTCGTAAGCTTCAGAAGAGCTTGTCTGCAATCAAGCTTCTCATCCCGAGAATGAAAGAATGAGGAAGGCAGAACTACATAAGGCTGTAAGCAGGAGGGAGGCAGGCAAAGCTTTGTGGTAGATGGCAGATCCAAGAGGGCAGATCCAAGCTTGACATCCCTAGATGTCTAGTGAAAGAGAAGCTAAAAGTACGGGGCAGAAAAACGGGGTCATAAGGATCAGTTTGCCCTGATCCATCTGTGCCTGGCCTGAAAGGCTGAATTCCCAGGAAGCGACAGAAGAGAAATGCCTTCTGCACCAATGCCTGCCCTGTCCTGCCACATTGGCCAACCCCAGCAGAAGCTATCAGTGAAGCCAAGGTCTCTGATGGTGCCACCCACCTCTCACCAGATCGCCCCCTCCCGCCATTGGGCTGCTGGGGGTGATGACCCTACTCCAGCACCGGTTCTGATGGAAAGGGCCACACAGAAGGGCGAAGACAGGGAAGCCCACAGGCGGTTAGGGATCTGTCTGAGTCTTCAGACCTGGCAGCAGCAGAGCTCAACCAGACTGCGCCTCTGCCTGCCCCACAGAAAATGAGAGCGGTGCAATATGAGTCAGCTGGCCCAGAGGCCAGAAATCAATCACATGGGGACAACTGAGGCAGGTGACCCGCAAAGCACTAGAAAACCCCACTAGTGATTTTTGCCTGAATCCAATGCTGGGCAGAACACGTGGGGCATGCTGCTTCCAGAGAGATGCCTAGCCAAGCACCAGGGCAGTGGGAGCTGAGCTTTGGGGGCAGCAAGCGGCTGAAATAAAGATAGCCTGCCCTCTGCCCAGAGAACAACCTGAGGAGGAGCCTGCAGCTGAGGGCTGGTGAAGGGGCAGGGAGCGCCTGGGACACTCCGGCCTCCCAGGACAGGCAGGAAGAGAGAGGAGAGGAGAGGAGAGGAGAGGAGAGGAGAGGAGAGGAGAGGAGAGGAGAGGAGAGGAGAGGAGAGGAGAGGAG